TTAAAATTGTCTCTAACATAACTGCAATGAATAAATAGGATGTTTTTTTTTGGTAGTACATGACATCCGTGAGCCTATGTGTCCACATCCCTGTTTGCCAAAGGCATGCTTTCATAATGATTATGGGATATTTTTTGGTTTATATAAACATTGACTTGACCGCAAAGTTGCTCAATAACCAGACAAAAGAAATGAGAAGCTTAAACAAAAACATAAAGCATTTGAAGCTAAAAAGCATAAATATGTGGAACAAGTTCAGATTCTTCTCTGGATTGCCAAGAAACATCCTCGAAATGTAATAAGTAAGTAGACACAGTAAAAGATAATACACAAGTTAATTATGATGCTTCACATCATAGCTGCAGTAATGGAATACGCATCACACAACAAACAGTATCTGATTCTTTAATTACAGTTAGCTTGTACTCAAATCTGAAAAGCACGGGCCCTTGCTTCTTTAATTAAGTGCACAACAAGCCAATCAAGCCTGTCCATCGATACGTTCAGTATTCGTTGATCTGTTTGTCTCCCAGCTGATCCTAATGTTGCATATGAGCCTTAATGTATAGTGTCACCGTACAGTTAACAATTAACTACAAGCGTGTGGAAGTACATAACCAAGCTTGACATGTTTTGATGCGCTTGATTTCTTGCTTTGAGAAACATTTTCCAGAAGCAGAACTAACGCAAGAACCAGGAGGATTTCTGCAGGCAGCAGAGACAGTGCAGCGCTGCTAATTAAACGCTCCACTAATTAATGTAGGGACGCATTCGAGGCAGTGTTGTACTTAAATAATGCCTCGAGATCCAGCAGAACAAAATAACTCACAAGAGATTGAAACTTTCTGAGGGCACAATTAAAGACGCAGCAGGATATCAATAAAGACTACAGTCTCTCTGCACTTCAAGAATGTTGGAGCCAGCTTTATTGTTATAGATATCGATGTTATTCAGGGAAGGTTAGCAAGAAAAAGGTGCTGTTTTTCAGCTTAACTTTAAGTCAGTGGCACACATTCAAATTTGTAGCCATGTTGTCTCTATTGATCGTTGTGTCTGCCCTTTTGAACTGCAGGTCCACCACTTTGATTTACCATGACATGATGTATTCCAAAAGGGAGCTGACTTTAATGATCCCCTGAGGTTGACGTTTAGTGAAATGCCTTTACAACTTTTTGATGGAATTCCATGAAAGGTGTCAAACATTCAGGAGACGTGACATCTGCCAACATCTTAGCAGCAGTCATACTGGGAGTGATAATTGGTTGTCTTCAATGACAGCCTGAGTGTATGAGCACACAAACAAGTTTCGGCTGACTGTCTTGTTTGTGGACCATAACTACGATGCTTTATTCAGCGCACGACGCGGCCCGAGGCTGCATTAGATTTTGGACTGTTTTATGTCTCTCTTGCTCTTTACAATGGAAGGCTCCCTGTAATTTGCACATGAGTGCAAAAGTGAAAGAGAAGCCATTGCTCCTCTGACACACAACTGTGAAAATGCCAAGGAGTTTTTTTTTGCTCTCATTCGAAAAAACACTAAAACTGCAAAGTTCCTCTCATTTTTGCTTTAAAGCTGCAATAATTAATGCTTCTCGTGGTGACACACGCCCTCAGCTCAGTGTTACATCCACACTACTACTACTACTCATTTGTTTTAAAACAGCGTTTCAACACAAACATAATCTCTGTCCAGACAAGCGTTTTGGCTCCGTTTCAGAATACCATGTCCATGATACCACGCCTGGACAAGCATTTCACATGACCAGAGCTGATATTGCCGCTGGACACGGGAATTGTCGCAAAGCGCTCAAATAATAGCTTACCCCCCTGTGCACATCGGGGAACGACATGTCGAGACTTATGAGACCCAATACAGAAGCAAATGTGGGGGACTGGGTCAATCGTTTTCAAAGGTCTGCCGTTTCTGCCCATCCACACTCCAACGAAACCGCTAGTTATAAAAGTTATACATTTTAAAATGACAACGTATCCAGTGCGGATGCGGCCTAAGGGTCTTTACCCTCATTGTTTTGGTTTTGCGGTCCGTAACTCATTCAGAAACACGACTCCAGAGAAGACTAAAGTTGCTCCACACTGGATGTCTAACAGCAACTGTCTTTATAAAAAAATAATATGTTTCTGTTAACTGTTATCAGGTTGTTCTGCTGCCCCCCAGTGACCAGAACAATCACTTATCTTCACCTGAACTCTGTTTTCTCTGGATAAGATGCAACCTTTTAGTTTCATAATAGTCTCTGCACACACTGGGCCGACCTGCCGTCATTCCACAGTACCTTCATGCAAGAAGTAATTTCAAACACAATGTGACTCTATCGCGCTGTTCAAATCAGAAGGCGATTAACCGCACAGTGACTTTAATGTCCTGTAGGCATCTGTTTCACACGCTGACTTCCTTGAATCTCATTACATAAACCCCAGCGCTTCACTCCTCCGGCTAACAAGTCAACAGAGCGCCATCTGTGGCTGTTTAAATATGTATTTCTGTTTTGTTATCATTTAGTACCACCTCCGTAATGAACAGTGAGCCGTCTGCATGGGTGGAACGAGAAGTGAGGCTCCGGTCTGAGACCCGCGGCTGGGATCCCTCCACCTCTGCAGTCCTAACTTAATATGCTGCTGTGGTTTATGGTCCGTGCATGATGAGTCGTGTGTGGCTGAGTCAGGCCGGGCGAGATAAACAGAGAGATGCACAGAGGTGAGGGAGAAACAGAGAAAGAGAAACCAAAACCAAAGAGGAAAAAGTGAGAGAAAGAGCCACTGATCACAACAAAAGAAACAATAATTATGACCACAGTACTGGAGAACAAACTGTAAAACATGCAGATGAATCTCTGAATTGGTGTGGTGGGTAAACCTGCTTTAAAGAGCTGCAAACCCTGAAACAATGCCATCAATCTGAGCCCTTAGTGGAGCATTTTAGTGTCCCATTGTGGTCTAAATGCTGTTTTAGAGGCTTTTTACACCCTGACAGGAATAAAACTGAGGGAGAACACTAACTAAAGCATTGCTTTAGGTCTTGAAATCTCAAGTTATTCATGAAGTACAACTTGTAAGTGCTGCAGAGAAGGAGGTGATGACGGACACATCAAACCAGCTGAAGAAGAGGAGGGACAGAAAAGAGCAGAAGGAGATAGAAATGAGGAGATGTGGCCAAGAAGCAGGAAGAACACAAGCAGGAGGGGGGAAGGTGAAGAGGAAGAAATGGGAAAGGAAGGAGCCAGCAACACAGCAACACAGCAGCAACTCTCTGATTCAACAGGGGAGGGGAAATCCAGGTGGAGGTGAGACAGAAAGAGACAGCAAGCATAGAGAGAGAGAGAGAGAGAGAGAGAGAGAGAGAGAGAGAGAGAGAGAAAGAGAAGAGGAGAAGGAGACAGGAGGCGATAGGGGGGGGGGGGGTGATCTGTTGACAGAAGAAAGGAGGATGAGAGAAGCTGACAGTAAACAGCAGGGAGCGAAGAAGAAGAGAGCAGCGAGCAGAAAGATGTGTCGGGGAGGAGAGGACGGAGAGTTTGGCAGCAGATCTGAGTCAGACACAGACGCAAGGGATGTAACCGAAGGAGGGACACAACAGGAGGAAGAGCGACAGAGAAAAACAGATATTTTGGTAAAGTCGTATGTTTCTTTCGGGAAGGAACATTGAAAAACCACAGATCTGTTCTGACTGCATATTCCTCCTCACATCACTTCTTTTGTCATACGTCCAACTGCAGAAGCTGCGACTTTATGTCTTACAGCTCACTGCCTGTGCATTGCACTGCAGCAGACCTCAATGATCACTGCACATGTTTCATTTTCGATATTTTTTATCATGATTTATAAGTGACAGTCGAAGCAGATTACAACTCAAAGGAAGCCAGAAAGGATAGGTTGACGTGTGGAGGGTCTTGGTCTAAGAAAGCAAGGGAAGCGCCTAAAAGAGACTCAACAAAATACAGAAAAGAAGACCAGGTGACAATAAGTTGTGAAAGAGGAGAATATAAGTGTGGAAGGATGGAGAACTTTTACAACCATCTGCTTCCATTACATACAAGGATGTCTCCCTTCATCCAAATTCTCTTCATCTCATTTCTTGAATTTCTTTTCTTTACCTCCTCCCCTCTTCATGCAGGGGAAGAGACATACACACTCACAGCAGAGATGAACTGCTTTTTACAAGCTGCAATAACTGAACACACCTTCATTTCTCCCTCACAGAGGTGAGGTAATCAAACCAGCAACCTCTCAGTCCCACGCTAACGTCTCCAACCAGCAAATGCTACAACCTCTTTTTTCCCTCTCACACGCTCCTTCACACTCTGGCTGCTCTGGAGTGTGTGTGCACAAACGTGGCTCAGTCCCAGGATTCCCATGATGCTGCGCTGAGCACCAAATTAACCGGAAAACAAAGCGATGGTGTTGTTTTACGCACACGGTGGATGAACTGGCTTCTGACAGGTTTGGGCAACAATTAAATGTTTTTGGCTCTGAGATAGAAAGCGTCTTCAAGCATTTTTGTCCAGAGCAACGACATCATTTTATTAGACAAAGCTCCCCATAAGGGAATATGATCATTTAACCCTGGAAGTCAATAAATAACTAATTAAAATGCGACAAAACAGCTTGGTGGATTTGGATACCAAAGTCCTGTGAGGAGCCGTCCACTTTTAACTGAGTCAATTCTTGTAACATACAATCCAATAATTAGCATTTAAATGAAACCACTTAATCATTCTGTATTTGTTCTTTACAACTAAGCGCTGCTGCGTAAACGAAGTGCGCAAAATCCAACAGCCTTTAAGAAACAAATCCCCGTACCTCATCCAAATTAACACAACAAGTACACGAGACCAACAGCTGAACAGCACTGCATCCAGAAAGCAGAAGCTTTAAATGATAGAAGGATGAAGCACCAGGACCCCCCGGGTCCGTGCTGCCCGTAGGCTACTCGCTCCGTCTCCTCCGGGGAAAAGTTAAAAAAAAGCGCATAGCCTGCTCACCTTCTCCGGTTGTCCCGTACGAGCTGCAGAGAAGCAGGGCGACTTGAGCGATAATCCCAGCGGCTCTTTTACTCCTAAAATCCATGATGATGAAGCGGCGAGAGGCTGCGGAGAAGCCCGGAGGCTGGTGGGGGAGAGACAGAGAGAGAGAGAGATGGCCAACCTCTCCACTCCAGCTCCAAGAGAGATCTCCTCAAACCCGACAGGAGGAAGAGAGGAGGGGGAGAGAGAGAGGAGGTGGGAGAGAGAGAGGAGGGGGGAGAAAGAAAGGGAGGTCAGCAAACTTGGCTGAGTAGTATCTCTGTTGTTTTCTCAGCTATTCTGCAGCTTTGCGGTTGGAGCAAAACTGAAATGCGCTATGGTTGTTTTTCTCTCTCTCTCACACATAGACACACACACACACACACGCGCGCACACACACACACACACACACACACACACACACACATGCAAAGTAAAAATAAAACAATTACATGGGGACAGATACAACAACAGCAAATAAATAAGCCAACCCCTTGTCATTCCCAAACCCTTACTGCCCTACTACCCTACCACCTACTGACACTTTGTGTCGGGACCCCTCTGTGTCACCTTCTAAAGCACAAACAACAAACACTTGCTCAGGGTTCCACCCAGAACCCAACATAAAGGGTTGTACCTAGATCCATCCATCTGTGTAAAGTTCAACCAGAACCCCCAATGAGAGGTTCAACATGGAACCCTGTCATGTCACGGTTCCACCCAGAATCCACTCTGGAGATTATATCTGGAAACTTTCCACCTTCTAAGGATGCTAACAGGAACCCATTCTACAGAGAATACTTTTGTAGTCCAAGGGTTTCATCTAGAACTCACCAACAGCGTTTCACAGAGACCCTTGTTAGCCCTGGTCCATGGGAACCACGTCCAGCAGACTTGGGCCTTGCGAGGCTCTTAAAGGCTGATGTGGTGCAGCGTCACCCACAACAATCACAGTTTTGGGGGATTTAGCTTTTAACAATCGTTGAAGAACTCTTGTCTTTTAAAAAGGTGCTTCAGAAGTATAAGTTCTGGGAAGAACTTCAGCCCCTCAGGAAGAACCCTTTTACGAACCCTTATTTCTAAGAGTGATGTCGAGATTTCACTAGATAATTGAACTGACCTGCTGGAGCTAGATGAAAAGTCAGGGGATCACCAAAGTCAACGAGAGTTATCCTCGGTGGATCACTAACGTCTGCACAAAATTTCATGGCAATCCACCCAATATCTGTCGAGGTATTTCAGTCTGGACCAAAGTCGTGCACCGACTGACCGTCATTGCCGTCCTTATAGACCCACCAGTGTGGCTGAAAATCAATACATTAAAAATGATTGGGTGCAAAACCTGTCCCTGAAGTAGACGTAAGAAAGCTTTGCATTCGGTAACATCTTGCTACACATGGCGGCTTCTACTTGTCTTTAATGCTCCGCTGAAGGTGAAAGAGAAGAGCTACATGAGTCATACTGAATACAAGGCTACAGAGAAGGAGAGTGACTTTTGACTAAAAAAGTTTTCTAATTTTGAGAACAAACAGCAAAGTTACCGACTACTATGAGTATACGAGTCCATCAAACATAATATACCAAAGGCAAAAAGCCTCAAACAATTGGGGTAAAAGTGAAGAGTTATGCTACAATTTTGATGGACAGAGGTAAAATGTAAAGAAATCATGTCCAGCTCAGTCTCCTCTCAGGAACAGGAGATATAGGGGCCGATATGAGTGACAGCAACATCGTTATGAAGCAGATAGTTATGTTTCAGAATAGATAGCAGAGGGAGCACATGCCTTTATTGCCCCAGGGGCTGTTAGCTGTTAACAGAAATAACTGACTGACTGACAAAAGCACGTACAGTAGAGTGAAAGACGACAAACCAGAATAGAGATACGGAGGAGGCAGGCGCACTATGGCAGATAACGAGAACCCAGAATAGATATGAGAAGTACCTGATTCCTATCCAGGTCATTGAGAGAGCCGGGCTGTCTTATATACGATGGTAAATCAAATGGCAGGAAATCAGAATGAAATCGACCAGATGGGTAAGAGAGAATTTTGGCTGGAAACCAAGTTTTGCAGAGGATTCTGGGAATTCAAGCACCAAGTGATTTCAGATGAAGCAGCGGGGAGGAGGTGTCAAGTAACCTTTTAACAACATTGTGTTCTCTTCGTCTGTCTCTTTGATTGACTCTCATCTTCACGTGCCTTTACAGATAACATGAAGGGTGAATTCACCGACTACAGAGAAGAGTTAAATCAGGGTTTCATGGCGGCGATAAAGACGTCTGACCAAATATTCTTTCCTTGGATCACATAGCACACGAAAACCCATCTTATCAGGCCTCAAGTAATGCGTTTGTCTCCCGTAAGCCAGAGCACGGACCAATCAGCCTCCTGTGATGAGCTACTGGCAGCTAAGGGCGTGACTTAGGTGTGTGCACGAAGACACGGAGAGGCCACTTAAATCAACTCCAAACCAACTTTAAAGAAGGTAACAATTAAAACTTAAGTGCTCATGGTAAAAAGCATGAGAATGCACTCTGAGGCGTCGCACAGTAGAAAATAATGGACTCAATGGAAGAAATACCACCGTCAAGGCTTTCACCCTGTCTCTTATTTTCTTATATGGGGACACCGTGTCTTACATTTTTGCTTACATAAACTCTTTAATAAAAGAGTTCCAATTCAGAAAGAAATGTGAGGTGCAGCTTTCAGCAAGTTGTTTTGAAACACATTATGTTTGAAAGCCTTCCTCCACTAATGCATCTTTCCTGAATGCTAGGATTTACATAAAAGCTGGGTCACCTTATTTAAATAAAAAATGATGACATGGAGAAGATTTTGATTCATTTTTTTTAAGAGCCACCACCAACACTCACCTTTGCAGTGAACATCTTACCTCGGATTGTTTCAACAACTTTGTTTGGAGACAACTGGGATTATCGGGTAATCTGCAGGTGAATGGGGCCGAACAGACCATCCCCCTCCTCGGCCTTCATCCTCCCATCCCTCCGACATCTGGTTCCATCGTCCTCATATACGTGCCCACCAATGACAGCAAACTGCCTCGTGTGCTTGTGTTGTGATTACAGTAGGTTGTCTACAATAACAACTGTGTAGGAGGTGCAACCCTGTAGTGAATTTCATCAGACCAGCTAGTAGCAACGATGGCTAATATATAATTAGCTGAAAATACCATTAAATCATGACAGCAGGCATAACAACGTATTATTACAAGAATGTCTGTAGTAATATCCTACATATTTGTGAATTTGGGTGAATTGTAAGAGCCTAAAAATCTTATGTTATTGTCTACCGGTGACCCCAGAGGACATCCGAATAGCTGACACCCGCGCATTTGCCATGCAACGCAGCGCACAGAGCTTCAGAGAGCCGGGGATGAGAGCATGCTGCCGTGCAGGTATTAGATTTGTGCAGAACACCTGAACAAAAACTCAAGAAACATCAACAGCAAACAGTATGATAATAAAATCCCAAACACAAGGCTCGCTCTCAGTGGTTTATTTGACATGAGAAGTGCCTTCAGCGTTTCAGAGCAGAGAATACTGCTTCTTTTTTCCACTATTTCAAAACCTTATTTTACATATAATTGTTTTTTAATCATTAGAAACACATTTTTCTGTACTGTGATGATCTGAGATCACATTTTCATTTTTGCTTTACCTGGACTTTAAAAGGAATATCAGTGGTAGTCAGAACAAAAAAGATAGCACGCAACACACCACCTATTTCTCATGCAGCTCATGCAGCTGGCCATTAAAACCTGAATACAACGTGTTCGCTCAGGTGCACACACCTGCCCGTCGACAAGGGGGGGTAACAGTAAATCCACACGGGAGAGGAGCTCTTGGTATCGTTCAGCAGGGTTTGTTCGTTAAGAGAAAGAAAGCCCTGAAAACAGACAGGAGACGGGAAGACGTGCAGAGAGAGTCAGCAGGGGAGTCTGATAGTGAAAACCTACCGAGTACAGACAGCAGGGGAATCGGATGATAAAAAAACCTGTTGAGCGCAAACACAGCGGGGGAATCAGAGAACACTGAAGCCAAGGTCTGTGAGAAACAAGGGATCACACCGTGCACTAGCACACACACACACACACACACACACACACACACACACACCTCGGTGGCCTGCAGACACACCGCACACAGAGAAACCAGCTGGCTGTTTAACGTTCAAATCAGACGGGCGACAGACTTTAAAACTAAGCAAACCTGAGATACGAAACAGAGAACTTGGAGATCTCAATGAAGATTTGTCCGTCAGCATTATTGTTTTAAAGTTCAAAGCTTCCATCTTTTCTCCCGACAAGCCAACGCTTCACAGTGGAGGCACTTTCTGTTGTGTGGCTTTTGTTAACACTTTCATTGTTGGAAAAATAAACTCACCATCTTCAGCTGTACCTCCTGTAAAGAAATAGACTATTAGGTGCTATTTCTAAGTCGAAGTGACTTCACTGCATTCTTTATGAACCACACTAAATAAGTAAATGACTCAGCACTTATTCAGCAGTTGACTCCTCACAGCTATAAACATCCTGAGTGGACTTGTTGAATAGACGAAGGGACAGCAGCAGGGAGCAGGTTGGGGAGGCAGGTTTTTGTGTGAATACAAGTGATATGATGAGAGTCACCTGGACAACGCATAATTAAGATTTCATCCCGGTTGCGTCTTACATCTGTAGTCACAGCGTCTGCTTTAAGTCTGCTCAATCTATTGTCACACACATTCGTTGCTGCGGTCTGTAACAGCGGATAAGGGAACATTTTATAACGAGAAAGAGCTGAACATTTGTGTTCAAACACTGTGAATGTTTGTCTCGGGATTTGTTGGCAATTCTGTTTGATTCGGTGGATAACTTGTAATAAGAAACAGAAGCTTTTCATTTGAAGCGGTTTACTGTGGTGGGCTCTCTGATCTGAGTTATGTCAATTGTTGAATCCGTCGTCATCTTTGTGTATAATAATGAAGACAGAGGAGGAATGTGGTTTATGTTTACAGCATTATTCTATTCTGCATACAGTTCCATATTTTTTTCAATTGTGCTAATAGGATATATTTGAATTATTTGACTTAATTAAAGCAGTAAAATTCAAATAAAAGCCACAGTGAGCTGTCTGTGTATACGGT